AAAATAAAAAATGACACACAAATTGAAAAATCAATGGAGTAACCATTAGAGAACTGAAATGACAGAGCAGACATTACTCTAGGAAACCACTGTCACTGCATTATCAGCAGGCAGACCGTACCAGTGTTAATCTGCACATTACTTCACACTAATAGCGTTAGTATCTCTGTATCTGTAACATAACTCCCACCACGGCTACAGCAGCTAATAAACACTCTACAAAGTCTCCGAAAGTGATCCGAGATACAAACTCCCGCCCTCCCTCTCTCTGATAAATGATGTGTGTAGAGATGCTTTGGTTAGATTAATGTAAGAAACACAAACCACACTGTTTATGAAACAGCTACTCAGTCGTGGAAAATCGGTCTGTGTGTGTGTGTGTGTGTGTGTGTGTGTGTGTGTGTGTGTGTGTGTGTGTGTGTGTGTGCGTGTGTGTGTTTAAGTGTGTTTGAGTGTGTTTAACTGTGTGTTTTGGGAGGGAGCACGCTGCTGTAATCTAAGGAGGAATCTTGATGACAGATTGTTGTTGGCCTTCTCCATATATCACTGCCTCACTTACTTTCTCTTTGTCTCTCCCTTTAAAAAAATTAGAGGGTAACATTTTCACTGCTGTACAGTACTGAGATATGGAAGGATCAGGCCCATTTGAAAAACAGCACTTAAATCTTGTACCACTGCGTGCAATTAGTATGTAGGGAAAACATCCCATTCCAATACGGTATTATGACAACACATCCTCACTCCCAGGTCGGCTTATGTTGACGTTATGTCAAGTCCTGTGTCGGCTTTTTCCAACGCAAGGGGGGGGGCCTTAGCGGCCATTTTCAACGCAAGGGGGGGGCCCTTAGCGTCCATTTTCAGCTTTCCGGGATGTCCATATGCTTCTATGGACGCTCATGGAAGCACGGCATTCGTTTGTGTCGGCTGCCCTTAAAGGCAATGTGAGCGTCCATTCTCATTGGATAACATAGAATTGTACACCCGGAAGTAAGTATTCCCCTTACTGTCGATTGAGTTTACAGTGATATCTGCACTACTCATCGACTAAAAAACACCAGAGTATCCTTGTTAATTACACAACATTGATTGGTTTAAATTGTGTGCAATGCTTTTGTATTTTTACCCTTCGATTCGGAGAAACAAATATTTTTTCGGAGTAAAGGATGGCAGAAGACACTACACTACCCAGAATCCCCAGCTATCGTTTGGACTACACCATGTGCTCTGTTTGACCTCACGTGATCTTCAAATTTCTCCCTGCAGAAAAAAAAACATAGGCCGACCTGGGAGTGAGGATGTGTTGATTATGATCATGCAGTCAATTATTCCAAGGTAATTATTATTGCCTAAATGTTTTGTTTTCCCCCCAGGAAGAATTAAATGTTCTGATTTAGAATCTTATTTTATTCATTTTTATTTGAGCCATTAACATTTTCACCATGGCTTCAACCAACGATTATTTTCATTATTATAATTAAATAATATGTCTACAAAAGATCTCCAAACCCAACAAATATTATTTAAAAGTTTAACTAGGGAATGCCTGGTATTTTTTCTTGAAAAATCATTCCACCTTTATTTTTTACATAAAATACCAAGAGTCATTTTGCACATTGCATTAAATGCAGTATACACAGAACACATTATGACTTTTTAAGAAGCCCTATTGTGCTTTTTGTGATTTTATATATGTTTTGTGCATGTAAATGGTCTGCAAAGGCATTTCAATTTTAAAATTTAAAATTTAAATTTTTTAATTTTTTAATTTTTCAACCAAAGCAGATGCGGCTAGTTGTTGTCCACAACCTGGGAATGAACGTGGAAGCGAAGAAGAAGTAGGAAGAATCGACTGCAAAAAGAAATGTCTGTTGTTTAGAGATAAAGCAGGGACAGAAATAATTATGTTCACCAAAAACTGGTGTTTAGTCAATGTCTCCTGTTTTGTTTCAAATTGCAATATACTGTATACAGTGTATATCGTGGAACAAAATGTATATCCAAATGTCAGGTCATGTGACGTTGGATCTTGTTTGTGTAGAATCCAAGTACTGGCTGAGTGTTTGTGAATGTGACGGCCTGTGGAGTGAAACAGTTCCTGAATCTGCTCTCGCTGCTTGTTTTGGCAGAGAGCTGCAGCTCCGGAGGGAAGTTACGCTCAGGGTGAGAATATTCTTCGATGATTTTCCCTGCCCGCTCACACCAGTGATCTCTTCTGCAGTCCTGAAGGTTGAAAGGCGGATACAGCGCTGTGAAGTGTGATCACTGAGGGGATCATCCTCCTGAAGACCACTCTCATATCCCCAGTTTTGCAGACTGTCTTTGATGAGGGGGTGGACATTGAGGAGTTGACAAAGGAGGTCCAAGACCAGCGAGAGATTTGTGATGTATTTAATAAACACCCTAAGGCTAAAAGTTGCTGCTTCTGTATTTGGCTGAGTTAAGAGAGACTCCTGAAGATGATGGATGTGTCAGACCTTGTTTTCTTTTATTACTCCCAAGTTTTTGGTTTTAAAAGTAATTCACAAGGCACTTTACTGTAGCTCTTAGGTCTTAAGTCAGAGACAAGTTAGAGACAGTCCAGAGCAATGCTAGCTGCTGTAAGTAACGTGCTGCATGAGATAAAGTTAGCGTTGGATAATTTTAAGAACATTTTACAATGAATGAAGGTTAAAAAATCCAATCGGCTCATTAACAGGTGAAAACAAATCACAAACTTCGGAAATCGTGGCATGCGCAACTCTGCACCAATGTGACTCAGAGATGAACCCTTTTAGAATCATGAATCAACCCAAAATGTAATGTTATGTGACGAGTGATGTTCATTTAAATACAAAGTAATACATCTTAATTCTGGTGTTATCGTTATCATTGGAATTCCAGGTTAAATTGGTGATATGTATCAGGAATGAAGATTTGTTCAAAATCTTTGTTGTGTCTGTTTGAATGCTGACATTATAGTTGGGCATTGTTTATTCGCTTTAATCTATCTATCCAGCTATCCATCTATCTATCTATCTGAAACAACATGAAGTCTTTTTGCTTCTGAATTGGTTAATTTCTTATTAAAAACATTTATAAATAGTGTTTTTAGAAAGCACAAACTCTGGATTCAAAACATATGGTACAATTTAGGAGGACACCTTTTGCCTGACTTTCTGATGTGTTTTGATAAAGGTTTCTATGGTCTCAGTAACCTGGACGTGATCTCACACAACTCTACCGTATACAACGTGATGAATGTGATTTCACTATAGCACTGCAACTCACCTGACACGAAGGCAACTTTCTCCTTCAACACAGGAAGAACATCTGACGCCTTGATGCCCTCAGTCCTCGGCGACCCTGGAGAGACACGGAGGAAGAAAACAGTCAGTCACTGGAGCTCTTAGTATTAATCCCATTATCAGATCAACATTCCTGTGAGAAAGAACACACCCACACACTGAGAGATCTGGCTTTTACAACGTTTTGTGAGTGAGTGTGTGTGTGTGTGTGTGTGTGTGTGTGTGTGTGTGTGTGTGTGTGTGTGTGTGTGTGTGTGTGTGTGTGTGTGTGTGTGTGTGTGTGTGTGTGTGTGTGTGTGTGTGTGTGTGTGTGTGCTTTTGTTCTTTTTGTCTTCAGCATTGACATTATGAGACTTTTACATCTCTGTTATTATTTCTAACAGTTGAGTATATCAGCATTAGAACGTGTTTATTGTGAAAAAGGAGCACATTTAGTTCATCTTCTGTCCTCCATCCTTTGTAATCTTTTCATTTCTTTATGACTTCATCACCTTAGTCTTGTCCCTGGTCTAGTTTGCTTTCTTTCCCTCTCAGTTCATCTGGTCATCCGTCCGTCATGTTATAAAATCTCTCTTCTGTCATACTTATTTAGGATCTGTTTACCCCCTCGCCTCTCTCTCAGTAGAAAATGAGGCCAAACGTCCATGCCCTGCTGTGTGTATGTGCATATGATACACTGTACTGGATGCAAACACACACACACACACACACACACACACACACACACACACACACACACACACACACACACACACACACACACACACACCACACACACACACACACACACACACACACACACACACACACACACACACACACACACACACACACACACACACACACACACACACACACACACACACACACACACACACACATTCCAAGAACCTTTCACAGTGAAAACGCTAAGTCGGGTAAATCTCTCTCAGGACAGAGAAAGAGAGAGAAAAGTCAATTCCATGTTGAAAAGTGCTGACATCAAAACCAACCTGATTTATATTCATGAAATGTAAAAGAAAACAACAAAAAGAGAGGCTGAAGGGGTCATCTTGGTATGAAAACTCCCCATTTTGAGCTTGGTAAAGTTTGGAAACCTGTCAAAGAAATGTGTACTGTCTTATATATTTCCACTCTGTAACAAATCTTGAATGCAACCGAGGCAATTTGATCCAAGCGTCCATCTTTTAATTACTGTGTTACTAATGCACAGTGATTAAAATTGCTCTGCCACTTTTAGAGGTCACTGTGACACATGTGACCAATCAGAGCTATCCACTGT